TAGGGTTTAGGGTTTAGGGTTCAGGGTCTAGGGTTTAGGGTTTAGGGTTTTGTATTTCGGGTTTAGGGTTTCGGGTTTGGGGTTGAGGGTTTAGGGTTCAGGGTTGAGTGTTTAGGGTTGAAGGTTTAGGGCTTTCGGGTTTCGAGGGTTTAGGGTTCGGGTTTCGGGTTTCGGGTTTCGCGTTAGGGTTTAGGGTTTAGGGTTTAGAGTTCAGGGTTTGGGGTTCGAGTTTCGGGTTTCGGGTTAGGGTTTAGGGTTTAATTAGGGTTTGGAATTTAGGATTGAGGGCTTGGGGTTTAGGGTTTAGGGTGGAGGGTTCAGGGTTTAGGGTTTGGGGTTTCGGGGTTAGGGTTGAGGGTTTAGGATTTTGGGTTTAGGGCACACTCCTTACTTTCCATCATCAGGCATAAGTCGGCGCGTGTCTGACATTAGGGTATCGGGCTGTTACATCCGCCTCCTGATGGCTTGCTGCTGGCCTGATCTCAGGACGTAAACCTTAAACCCACAACCCAAAGCCCCAAACCCTAAACCCTAAACCCCCTAAACCCCCTAAACCTCCTAAACCCCCTAAACCCCCTAAATCCCCTAAACCCCCTAAACCCCCTAAATCCCCTAAACCCCCTAAACCCCCTAAACCCTAAACCCTAGTCCCTAAACCCTAAACCGTAAAGCGACGATTTCCGAAGTGCGGCATTCCAAAAACCGCTCAAGCGACGAGTGGCCAAACTCTCCAATGATGTCCTGCGACATCACCGGCATGGTCTTAGGACGCTTGTTCCTGGGTTTAGGGTTTAGGGTTTAGGGTTTAGGGCTTAGGGCTTAGGGGCTTCAGGGGAAACTCCACGCCCCCTAAACTCGTAACGGGCCTGAACCCCCAAGCCCTTGCAAATTCTCTAGGCCCTAAAGCCTAAAACCCCGCAAAAACACCCTAAAAACCTCAAATGCCCTACAAGCCCTAAAGCCCTAAAACCCCAGCCACCCCCAAGCAGCAAAGAAGTTTAAGGAGATGGGGCTTAGGGCTTAGGGCTGAGGGCTTAGGGTTTAGGGCTTAGGGCTTAGGGTTTAGGGAGTCGCTGGATTGGCTGTCTGCAGCGTTTGGCGAAGATCCACACGACATGCCCGCCTGTCAGATCCTAAATGTCTGCAATTAGGACATGTCTTCTCGCAGAAGCTGTTTGGCATTCTTTCTGAACTATTCTTTACATGAAGCCTTGGAGCAGAGACCCCACAGAACAATTGCTAGAAGGTGGTCTCTCTACAGGCCAACGTGCACGATGCCGCCTTCGCCATGCCACTTTCGATTGAGGTGAGCTTGCTAAGTGGCCGGTCGGTGTCACTGGAAGCAAGCCCCGACGAGACGACAGAAACAGTGACTAGGAAACAGTGACTAGGGCCCCTTACTCCTTTTCTTGGGGCTTTAGGTTCTCTTCCATCAGTCCCTTTTTATACCAAGAAGGGTACCCTTCTTTATTCCTAGGTTACTCTTGAGTCTAGGTGAGGATCAGAGCACAGAAGGCTCTTGCAGTTGGCAGGGGCCGACTCTTGGACTCCTCTGGAGGCGTTTTGGACGGAGCAGCCACGCTTCAGCAATCCGGGTTGCAGAGCGGCGATGTGCTCACCTTGCAGATAAGCAGCGTTTACGTTCGTGGCACCGACAGGGCTTTTGCTGCCATTCTTAGTGATGGGTCTGTTGTGACTTGGGGCTGTTCTGTGAATGGTGGCGACAGCAGCGCTGTGCAATGTCAGCTGAAGGACGTGCAGCAGATCCACGCTACTAGGGCCGCTTTTGCTGCCATTCTGGGTGATGGGTCTGTTGTGACCTGGGGCCATGCTGACCATGGTGGCGACAGCAGACGTGTTCAAGGTCAGCTTAAGGGCGTGCAGCAGATCCACGCTACTAGGGCCGCTTTTGCTGCCATTCTGGGCGATGGGTCTGTTGTGACCTGGGGCAGTTCTGACTACGGTGGCAACAGCAGTGCTGTGCAAGGCCAGCTGAAAGATGTGCGGCAGATCCACGCATCGTATGGCGCTTTTGCTGCCATTCTGGGTGATGGGTCTGTTCTGACCTGGGGTAACGCTGAACACGGTGGGGACAGCAGAGCTGTACAATGCCAGCTGAAGGATGTGCAGAAGATCCAAGAGTCTGGGTATGGGTTTGCTGCCCTTCTGAGCGATGGGTCTGTTGTGACCTGCGGTGGGTATTTTTTTGGGGGCAACAGCGGTGCAGTGCAAGATCAGCTGAAGGACGTGCAGCAGATCCAAGCGACCAGGACGGCTTTTGCCGCCCTTCTGGGCGATGGGTCTGTTGTGACCTGGGGTGATGCCGAATTTGGTGGCGACAGCAGTGCTGTGAAAGATGAGCTCAAGGACGTGCAGCAGATCCAAGCATCGCATGGCGCTTTTGCTGCCATTCTGGGCGATGGGTCTGTTGTGACTTGGGGCCGTGCTGACCATGGTGGCGACAGCAGACGTGTTCGAGGTCAGCTTAAGGGCGTGCAGCAGATCCAGGCCACCAAGACGGCTTTTGCTGCCATTCTTCGTGATGAGTCTGTTGTGACCTGGGGCAATCGGTACTATGGTGCCGACAGCAGTGCTGTGCAAGATCAGCTGAAGGACGTGCTGCAGATTCAAGCATCATATGGTGCCTTTGCTGCCATTCTGGGCGATGGGTCTGTTGTGACCTGGGGCAGTTCTGACTACGGTGGCGACAGCCGCGCTGTGCAAGATCAGCTGAAGAGCTCGTAGCGCCTCTCGACATTGCGTGGCCTCGCCAGCCCGAACAGGCAGTATCAGGGCTCCCCCCATCATCCAAAGGCCGTGCAAGCCAGAGACTGACAAAAGCCTATACCATGGGTCTTGAACCTTAAGCCTTAAGCCTTTCCACCATAAGCCTTAAGCCTTACACGCTAAACCGTACCCTAGACTTCAAACAGCCAGAGACGACACAACCAAAGCAGTCAACCCCCCAGAAGAGGGTTCAGAAGGGTTCCCTTTTT